AACCCCAAGGGGTTAAGGGTCCAAGGTCACATGCCCAGATCTCAGACTCCTTGTCCAGCATTCCTTCCACTATACCTCACAGCTTTTCCTGGCACGTCAGAATTTCCAGGATGGGAGTCACCCTCACCTTCCAACATGGCAAGGATGATCGAACATAGGGCAGTGTCTGCTCGCTGGCCCTAAACCACCTGTGCCCATCATACTCTCGTCAGGGACGGAATGTAAAGTGTCTCTTGGTCATCCCACAGTGAAGAAGATCTTCTTTGTGTCTAGCTGGACACCCTCTTAATTCATTTTCGCTTCAGGGAGACAGAAAGCAGTCACTGAGAGAAATTGCTGGGTTCCAGACAGACCAAACAGCGCCCCAGAGGGGGCTGTTTTATGGATACAGAGCCCAGGTGATCCAGGCAAGGGTAGGAGCCCTGGGCTGCAAACCTGAAGGCCTGAGGCCCTCCCTCTTTTCCATTGCCCGTCTTGGGAGCTCCAGCAAGTTCTTTGCTTTTCCTGAGCTCTCTGTCAAGTGAATCTGCTGGTTCTCAGTCCTATAAGTGTTTTTAAGATGGTATGAGGTCCCCACATGCCACAACCTACACATCCCATTTCATCCCCTTTTCTACCCACAACCCCCTGGGTCAAAATCAGCTCCTAGCACACGATGGGACCATCAGGCCCTGGCAGCCTTGCATGAATGAGGCAAAGCTTTGGTGCCCAGCCCTGGGTTGGTCATTTGTGTGCAATGAGTCTTCTAAACCCCCCTGGTAATGTTGTCGTGTCTCCACAGCTATCTTTAAAGACACTCCGGTGAGAAGACAGATGAAGCCAACAGCCTGTGAGCACCTGGGGTTTCCTATCGTGGGATGGACATCCCCAGGAGAACGTGTCTGACCTCACCGTACTCAAGTTGTAATTCATTTGACATACAGGCTCTGAAGGGAGCATTTATTTATTGTAAATACGTGGTTTGCACAGGCTTTAAATCAGTATTGTAGTCAACTTTTATTTTTGAAAAAAACACGCACCATTTCTCCATTTTTTAAAATGCATCTTGGCATTCGTCTGTCAGTGCAGCTAGAGCCCCATCCCCACCCCATGGTTTCCAGTCCGTGACTAAATATGCGTGCAGGCTGGCCCTTCCCAGATTCGGAACCGTTTTTAGAAGATTCCTTGGTTTGCAAATAGCCCCACAGTCATAGTATCCACAATGGCCTCTTACTGGCATGATTTTATATGTTCAGCGTACAAACTGCAAAATCAAACCAAACAATGCCTTATAAATGATACAACTCAGAGAGGGTAGTGTGTCCCCACACCCAGACGATGCCACACAACCTCCAGTGAACGAGATGCCTTGTCTCGCTTTCATTTTTGCAGTACAGGGAATTTTTTTTCTTCTTTTTTTTTTTTTTGCTGCCTAATGTAAATAGAACATAAAACAAAGGCAGGAGTGGGCTTGGCCCCTCCAACGCCGACTCCAGGGCCCCTTTTGTAACTGAATGATCCTACGAGTAGCCAATGCTCTTACTGTTTACAGTACCCCTCATGCCCAAGTCCCCGAGACTGTGCCCTCCAAGTTCCCAGCCCCATCCTGGCTACCAGGGTGAGGTGGGTGAGCTTTAGATTTCAGTATTTCCCCTGCAGGTGAGGAACCTTCATAACTCAGTATTAAAGTAAATTACTAATCCTATCTCAGAGTTCTCCCCTCCCCACCCCAAGTGCAGGATTTCCATGGAAAATAGGACTCGAAAAAGTGCAGACTGAAACGTATTATGAAATAAACTGCCTCCACCCCCAACCCTTGGGAAACCTGGAACCACCCATCAAGCAAAAACCAGCTAAATTCTGAGCTAAACAGAGAACCTAACCTCCCATTCCCTATGGTGGGCACCTCTCTGTGGGGGGAACAGTGTGCAAATTCGGCCACCCCCTGAATATGGACCACGTCAGGATGGGCTCTGACTGCTGCTCTCACACCCTGTGTCTTGAGCTGCTTGCCACATGACCCCAAATGCTCCCCGTCCTTGGAGAGGAAGGCTGTGACAGAGGAAGAAGACAAAATAGAAAAAAATGGAATGACCCCTGGTCTGTGCTCAAAATAGCTGCAGATTAAAGGAAATCAGGGATGGAGAGGCAGGAAGACCAGTGAAAAATACATTTTCTTTGGAACTGTCCACTCATGCGCTCACACCTCAAGGATTTCATGTCCAGGCCAAGCCACCCCAAAAAGGCAGTCGGATAGGAGGCTTTTGGCAAACATGTGCCCGCATACCCCTAGCTGTGGTCTGGAGTAAAGGCTAAGATGCTATCTTACATTATTGTCATGCTCCCTCCTTCCAGACAGAAGCAAGTGCGCAAGGTCAAGTTCCCTTCTCTGGGGAATACATCATGCCAAATGGTAACAGCGAAATCAATGGAAAAGAAGTTTTTCCAGGTCATCAGCCCTGGGCATCGCTGATTTGTTTCATTGGTTCTGGAAGGTTTCCGAAAGGTCAGAATTTCTTGATTATCATCGGTTCCACTCCACCTCCCTCCCAAGTTGTAGAAAATGACTACACAGGTTTTAATTATCATGGTTAAGAAGGCTTTAGACACAGGCAGTCCCACTTTCGGCAAGCACTGCCTGCCCCGGTGAGCTGTTTATATGAGCGTGTTCTGCACCGCTGGGGTAGAAATTTAAAATATAACCATGCAAGGACAGAGAGAAGGGATGAGCAGAAACCAAAAATTGCAGTTAGCGAGAAACCTCAGGAACCTCGCGTCACATCTCTCCTGGAGACCCATCACTGAATTCGGGCTCTCTGAACACGTGCTGATGCACTGGGTCCCTCTGGCAGGACAACGGTTCCGCCCCTTGACCATAAACTCACATATACGAGCATCTGAGTCACAGCGTCCCGACCGTCCTCGCATACTCTCGCTGATGCTCGTCTGTACGCCCCCAGTCTTTCCCATGTATTTTATATTTATGTATGTTCCCACTGCAGATTCATTTCTTTGTACCTAATAAACTTCGATAAGTGGAAATGCTTCTGGTTGTCTCCTTGTTAAAACCCATCTCTGATCACCAGTACTCGTCTCAGTCAAGCAGTTTTAAGGATTAGGAGGGCTTCTAAGAATGACAGAGCAAAAAGGACATTGACACAGGACCCAACACTTGCTGTCAAGTCCTGCGTTAGAATCAAGGCCTTTCTCTTTCGAGCTGACGTTTCAGACTAAACAACAAAGTCATAGTTTTGTCCTAAGAATATTTTCCTGGTGCTTGTGAGCTAGCTAAACTAATGGGTATTTGGAAAAACCAACCAAGGGGAAAACTTTCTCAAATGCATTTTTTTTAAAAAGTAAATAATACTATTTATTCCATTTTATTAATATAACATGAGTAGAGAGCATTGCTTGTAAATTCCTCTAGCGTGTGTTAAACTGGAACAACTTCCAACCTAAAGTACACTTAACACCCTTCCCCAAGTGAGCAAACCCCTCAAAAAATCTCCCATCTGGAGCCGTATCATCTCAATCTCCCGCATAGTATTGTCAGGTGTACTCTTTGAAACCTGGTACAAGGGAGCTGAGGTTTACCTGCTAGGTAAGCAGGCTCAGGGGCCAACATGGATCTCTATCACTGTTTTGCCTCTTACAAGTTTGGGGAAGTGACTTAGTCTGTGCCTCAGTTTCCTCATCTGTAAAATGGAGACATAAATGCAGGCCTGAGCATATAATGGTGAAGATTCAGTGACGTAACACCTGGGCAAGCCCTTGACCCTGACCCAGGTTGGCACACCCCACACACTAGGCACAACCAGAGTGCATATTACACGCTCAGTCACAGAGCTCTCGCTGGCTGCGTCGCAGACAGTCCATTTATAGACGTTTGCTGAGCTGCTCAGATCACACTCTACTGGCTCTGCTGTTGGCTAAAAAGAAGAGAGCAGTAATTAAAATTCATAGATGTTCCCGAAATAAATCTCGTCTAGAAGCTAAGCTTCAAAGTTAGCTGCTACATGTTTTGCATCCCAATTAGTTCAGGACCTGAACTGTTTTATCTGCGCTCTTATTAGCAGAGGTACAGATAAGCTCTTTAAAGGAGCCAGTCTGAGTAGAACAGAAAAACGATAGCCCAAGAGGATGGACAGAATGGATGGTGACTTTAAAAGCCATGGGTGGTGGAGGGTGGTGAAGTAGCCATAACTTAGGCACCCCTTATTGGAATTAAGGGTGGGAGAGGTGATGCCTTCAGGGATGAGGGGAGCAACTTAATGGGAAGGCTCTGGGTTCCAGAAGCAACTGCCATGCCCCAGGAGGCTTAGGCGTTCTTCATGAACCCGTTCTGTTGTGGGTCAAATTGTTTTCCAAAAATTCATATATTGCATTGCTAACCCCCGGTACCATAGAATGAAACCTTAATTGGAAATAAGCTCATTGCAGTTGTGATTAGTTAAGATGAGGTTATATGAAGTAGGGTGAACCCGTAATCCAATATGACTGGTGACCTTATAAAAAGAGGACAGTTGGACACAGACACAAAACAGGGAAACCACCATGTGAAGCCGAAGGCAGATCGGGCTGATGTGTCTACAAACCATCAAATGCCAAAGACTGCCAGCAAACCACCAGAAGCTAGGAGCGAGGGCTGGACCAGTGTCTTCCTCTCCCTCCTAGGCCTCAGAAGAAACCAACCCTACAGACATCTGGATTTTGGACTTCTAGCCTCCAGAAATGTGAGACAATAAATTTCTGTTGTTTAAGCCACCCAGTTTGTGGTCCTTTGTTACAGCAGCCCTAGCAAACTCATCCAGGTTTTGTCACATTGGAGCTTTGCAGGTATCTTGTGGTTTTGTGTTTAGTTTTTAAAAGTGAACTTATCTACAAAATGGTACAAAATTGAACTGATTGGGTTTTCTGATGATTCAAGTCAGGAAAATATATCCCCTTTCATACATTGTCTATGTCTTGACTGATGCCCAGCATTTATTCATGAAACACAAGATAGACGAGGCCACTGGACATGAATTTCAGTATTTTTTATTGTATGCTGGATGTATTCAGAGACAATTCCAAGGGAAAGCACTGGATGGGAAGTTATCTGGTTTGTAGACATCTGTACAAAAGGCTGTTACAACTATCGTCAGTTCCCACCGCAGGAAACAAAGACTTTCCTTTTTAGAGTTCCCTGCCAACAGCAGTTTCCAGCCCACACACTTAATTTCTTTCTCACAACATGACTGCAAACATGTCCTCGTACGTATTCGTTCCTACAAGAAATCTGCATGTGACATTTCGTGATGTTTGACGTCAATCAGATGAAGCACATTTGACAGAAACCATAGGAGGGGAGCTGGGACTTGGGGCCCTGCGGAATGAAATGCCACAGCTACAGGGAAGCCCGAGGTAGCACAGAGACAGCATGTGCCTGGGTCCTGTCACTCTGCCACATACCCCTCCATATGAGTATGACCAGCTAGCAGTCTCCCTCCCTCTTTCTTCCATGTGCGTCCTTCCCAAAGCTGAGAGCTCGGCTGAAGACTTTCCCCATAACTGGCTTCACCGCTCTTCAGTCACGAATGCAGTTAGTGGTTTCATAACAGACACACTGGTCCCGGCTAGGCCTCCCTGCTGGGCCAGCCAGAGCCAGGTCACACCTGTCTCAATGTGGGATGACATATTAGTTAGGGAGCAAAGTAGTTTGCCTGGCTGCTAATATTTAATATCTAATGATTCACCCAACAGCAAAGGGACCTCACTGCTAATATCTAATAGGCATACACCTGCTCTGTTAGACAGCTTGGAAGAAAGACTCTAATAATAATAACACTGTGTCTTATGTTATTGGGCGCTAAAGAATCACCGGAACTTCAAGGATGCCCTTATTCTATCTCATGTTCCAAACCACCTCCAAGAGTGAAAGAGACTACTTCTGCTCTGTTCATTTACTTAAACTGGAGACTCTGTACCTCCCCTTCCCCCCTTGGAGTATGAGGGGCTGCCTTCCTCTATGGTAACTCCCTTCTACCAGACAAGACTAACTAGCTTATATATGGTTACGGGGTGTGGGGGTTGGAGAGCAATTCTGTCCTTTATGGCCATATCTTCTTTCTGCACAAAACATGCACAGCACCTCCGCCTCTCCCCCAAGTCTTAATGGATACACAAGTGGTATTTTAGGAAGCTATTTACACAGTGACCTTTTAACGTTATCTTCACAGTTCTCCTTGAATATTCATTTTCTCCATATTGCCTTTAGAAAAGCAGTCACTGGTCAAGAAGCTATCCACATGCTGGGAAGCATTTTTCAAAAGCAGAGTCTGTTAGGAGCAGTTAAAAACAAACATTTCCCCCCAACAACAGCCTGCTCAAAATCCAACATATTTCAAGCAGTTAATAGAAGTAGAGAGAAGTCACTAGAAGTGAGCACGGCCACGTCAACAGATTCTTTGCTCTCTTCTTGTCTTTCTTCCACGCATCCCCATGCACAAAAAGTCCACTGTTTTATTCGTGTGTGGCTGTACAGAGATCACCTCTATGCCTATGGAAGCATCCAGCCCCACTTAACTTCTGCCAGGCTGTGCCACGGGGGGGCTGCCACTCCCTCTAGTGGTCAGACAGGGGCATCACAGTTGTGATGTACAGCGTTAGCCAAGACAGCTCCCAATTAGGGTTGGGCCATCTCTGATGTGTTGGGTTAAGGTCAGTGTTCTCTAACAGAAGTAGCCATTGTGTTTCATTGCACGATGGCTGGGTAATGGCCTGAGGCTGGCTGGTCTAGCCGGGATCTTTGTTTGACCCATAGTAATGAAAGCAGGCTTCTGTTTTATTTATTCTCACTAGATTCCTTTTGGTAAAACTCCAAATCACCTTGGGTATCACAGACATGTCAAATCTGATGAAATGCTTCCATAATAAGTGGAGGGGAGACCACGTGGTGAAATTTCAGAGCGGTTTTCTGTATCGTCTTGTTTGAAATAACCACTCAGCAGGTGAGGTACCGACGTCATTCTCAAACCTCGCCCTTCCCCCTTAGCAGCTATAGGCAGACGCACTCAGAATGGCCCACCCCACGTAAGAGGGAACCCTAAGCTCATCAATAGTGAAAGCCCAGGCCGAACCTGGACACAACTCTCAGCATGGACAAGCCACCACGAATGGCGGCTGCTAACTTTATCAGCTTAAATATTTTTCCCATCTCTCACCACTTGTAGTCGGTGACTTGACATGCAGACTTTACAAAGCTGCTGGGCAAAAAGCTCATGGCGCTCTTCTGCCTACACTCTTAAAGGGGAGTTGGTAGCAAAAAAAAGATTTGTTCCAATAAAACCTGTGGTCGCATCTGCATATGGGGCCCAGGTCCCTTCCAGCTCTCACGGCCTAACACGCACAGCTGCTGAGAAAGTCACTGGGAGTAATTAACCTGCTGTTCCCCCGCTCGCTGGTATATTAACATACCCTCTGTTACTAATCTCAGGCCCCCTTCCATTTCAAGCGTGTTTCAGAGTTTCAGTAGCTGGAGGTAAGCCCCCTCCCCCACCTGCCCACCTCAGGTACTAGTCTGAAGGCAGCTGCATACGGGGCAGGAGGGATAAAGGGAACGCCCAGGGAAAGCCAGGTGCCTCCTACACAGCCTCGTGGGCTATAACAGCCTGGGCAGGAGGAGTGGGGGCTGGACTGTTACCCCGGAGTGAAATGCTTCTACATCCATCTGTCGCCTTCTTGCCCTCTGTCTTCCCAATGCTGAGCCCATCTGGTCTTTCTCACATGTTTTTCTATGCTCGGGTGGTAAGTTAAATCCTTCATGGGAACACGACGTTGGGAACAAATCAGTTTAATTTAAGTCTCTGCTGAGATAATGTGTGGCTGCTTAGATTCCAGCTACCTTAACTAGAATCTAAATAGTCAAAAGTTTCTCCTTTTCTTTCCCTCACTAGTGGAGAGATTCACAGCTTTGTGGGGTGGAACTGTGCCACGGGGCCATGTCGTTAATCCTAAACAAGATGACAGTAACTAGGCCCGGTATCATTTCTAGACAATCCCGCATCGGTGTGGTGGGAGTGCCACTGTGCAGGGGGCAGAGCCGCGTGTCTTTTGGGACACCCACGCAGTCACTCTGAAGTCACCAACATGGCAGCCTGTGCATCTCTAAGGAGGGCAGGTTCCAGCTAATGCAGGGGACCAAGTCTCCCACCCGTGAAAGCGGTCTGTGGGTCCATGGCACACAAGCACAGTGCACGGAAGAGGGGAATGAAGATGGTGTTGGGACCGGACAGGAGCCCCTGTTTCCCTCCCTGTTGCTTTTGTCCCTCAGAAGACACCTCTGGAGACACATCTGGACACTATAGGCACACACTCTAGTAGAGGGAGGCCAGGAGGCTCCTCCCTCGGGTAAGCACACAAGAGCCCCCGGGCCAGACGGAAACAAGTGTCTTCTGTTAACCTGAAAGAGACCTGGACCGAGAGAAAGAGTAAGACTTCAAATGGGTTTGCTTTCCCCACACACTCAGCACTGCGGAGCCCGCCTTTCAAGGCTTGAGGAACTCCAGTCCTCCCGTGAAAAGGCTAATGTGTCCATTGTCACTGAAATACAATCATAGCAGCTTAAAAATCCACAATTAGTCGTACATTCGAACAACAGGCGAATGGGATACATGTTACACTGCAAAGGAAGGAAGGCAGGGGGCCTACATTGCAGGAGAAGGGGACGTTTTGAGATTCGAGGCAGAACACACGGGAACAGCTTGATTTGGCTTCAGAAAAGGAGACTGCATCGGAACTTTCTCATTTTACTCCAACAGGAGGGTGGTTTGTTTCGCTGGTAATTTAGTAAGGTGGGAGACTTTAAATAAGAAGGCGGGAGGGGGAGCTTACTTCACTTAAAGAACTTAATCTCCGTGTCAACACAGTCATAGAAGAGATCCCCCACTTCGGTGGGGTCCAGGGGGTCAGAGCTGCTCAGGAGTTCTTCCATGGCTTCCAGGCCCTGCTTCTCCAACTCCAGCATGGTCTTCCTCAGCTGGCGACCTTGCTCCTGAGGAAGGACAAAAACAGTGGGGGTCACTGCAGTGGACACTGAAAGCCACCCTATTCAATCTGTTTCCCACACGACTGCCACAGGGATCCTTCTAGATTGCCAGTGTAGTTATGCCACTGCTCTGCTTAGAATACTTACACAGCTTCCCACGGCCTTCAGGATAAAATCCTGAGTGACACTCATGGAAGGCCCATTGTAACATGGCTGTCATTCGCTTCAGCTCTTGTCATGCTCCTTTCTCATCAGTCAGACCGAATTAGCCGCGTTCCTCCCACCCAGGATACTCTTTCTAGCCTCTAAACAGGTGACCCTGCTCTCCCTCTATGCTTGGTCACCCTGCCCCCATCCTCAAGCCTCTTTGAAAGCTTTCCCTCTGGGCTCTCACGGCCCAGTTCCTTTCCTTCTGCCATGGTTGCTCTCTCCCTGTCTCGTAATGATTTGTCTACTTGCCTAGGATCCCGATTTGACCACGATCTCCTAGGGAGTGAGAACTAGGCTTATCTCTGTCCTCCAGTGCCTGAGACATAGTAGGCACACCCCGTAAATGTTTGCCGCCTGAATAAATGCATCCATGAATAAACACATGCCATGTCTATCCCCATCTTCTTGTTTTTTCTGAGGCAGTGAGATCCCTTCTTCCAAGTGGGAACTACTCACTAACAGTGGAAGACCATGAAAAACGTTCACGTGCCCACTTAGCCCCAGAACGGAGACGCTGCTTTCACCACCCGTCCACCACTTCCCAACACTGCCTGGACTCAAACCAGCAGTCATTTCTAAATGTCAAAGCCCACCCTCATCAGTCTCATCTCTTTGAAATTTTGCGTAGAATAGCTCAGATCACACAGACCTTTCTACCTCTGCCTTCTAGTTGCCCAATATCCACAAAAACCATGCACCACCAAGTGACGTTTTTACTCAGGGCTTACTGTCATTCCCCCTAGAAAACATGCCCTGTCAGGCACGCACGTGGACAGGCCTGGACGAATCTCGGTGTCATGTAACAGTAGGGTTCACAGTTCCAGGGAAACGTTAGGCAGGGGGAAACAGACGTAAAACATCTGCGAGTTTTACATGTCGAAGCGGTCATTTCTGGGGTATGAAGAACAACTTCCACGAAGTGAGACTGCCCTTCTCAGAGATACTCTCTCAAGCCCACTTGGATTTACTGTTGATGTTGCCTTTCTTTATATCCTTTTTATATAGTCCACTGTGCTAAACCTAAGAACGTAAGCTCACCCAGGCCACACAAAATGCATGCACCAATTTATCAAAAAGGTGTCCCTTTCTTCAGGAGAAGCTGGACCTGTTACAAGTGGTTACATAAATTTTGTTTGGGAAGCAGATAAACCATGGTCTAAAAACCATGGTCCTTCGTACTCCCTTCAGCAAAATGGAGGCTTGGGTTTTGTATGACAGCCTGTCATTGATGGCTGCTGCAGGCACGTATTGGGTGTCGGTCTTGTTTGAACTGATGTCTTGTAACTTGATTTACCAAAGGTTTTGGTGGGGGAGGGGAGTTGCACTTGGAAGAATATCTTTCTTTTTTTTTTTTTACTAGAAACTTGAGAATCTTTTTTCTTTTTTTGTCGTAACATATACATAAAATTGACTACTTTAACCATTTTGAATGCCCAATGCAGTGGCATGAATTCACACTGTTGTGCAACCTATCCAGCTCCAGAAATTTTTTGAAGAATCACTTTTTTAAAACAACAGATGATGGCATCTTTAAAGGGTTACCATCAAGTACAACTTTTTACCCTCTGGAGTATACAAAGAAGTTTAGAGAGCAGAAAAGCAGCTATCCCTACGAGAACTGCACATGTCTGTGATTCCTAGGTAAACAGTCAATGAAAGAGGGCTATTCTTAGCCCACTGAGTTCTAGAATAACATCAAAAGTGGAGGCTTTGTTTGATTTGGTTTCAGGAGACTGGGTGGAAAAACCACCTCCAGCATTCGAGGAGGGGCCTTGGGAGCGTTGATCTCTGGGAGGAGACGTGCTGAGGGGAGGCTTCCCTGCCTCCTTTCTCGCTGACCTGGCCACCCCCCAGGGGCCCACCCCAGGCTCACCTGGTCACCTGCGATGACAGCACGTGCCCACTCGTGGGCCTTGTACAGCTCGTGCCGGCGGTCTGGCTTCTCCTGGAACCGGGGCTCCTTTTTGGCAGGGTCACTGTCCCCGAAACAGGGAGACTGTGCTTTGGGGACAAGTTTTATGTCACCGACAAAGATGAAAGGCTTAAATATGGACCTAGAGAGAAAGGAGAAGTGCTTCAGCCAGACTGGGGGCTTGAGGACCCCCAGAAATGGTCTTTTCAATTCAGCAAACATTTCCAGAGCCAACTCACAGTGGGTGGTGGGTGGTGGGTGGGCGCATGCCAAGAGAGACACAACTACACACTTTAGTAAATATTTTAGTAAAACTGCCATTTACAAGCTGAAAATTCTTCTCTAATATTTACAGTGAGGAGACATCCCAACAGACCCGCTTTGTCCTGGGAAGACCATTCGAGCGGCCCCTTTCAGTTATATAAAGTAAGACTAACAGACACCCAGTGTTTTTGAGAAAAGGGTGTAGTGAGCCCTCTATTTAAGTTGGAAAAGGGTTGACTTTCTCTACCACGATTTGCTGGAAAGATGCTTCCTTACCTCCTGGAAAGGAAGTATCTGAGACCCTTCCTCTTTTTACTAATTTTAGGTTCTATCTTATTTGAAAATGTTTGGAATACCTCTGACAGACTCAGGGAGGGAACAGAGGAAGCGCCTCATTCCCCCCGTCTCTGCATCCAGAAAAAAAATGCTGCTGGGTTAAAGCGCTCCCGGCAGAGCCCAAGCACTTCGAGGCCCTGAGGGTGGCCTGTTTCCAGCCACACCATGGGCAGCATCTGCAGTCACTGTAGGAAAGAATGAGAACTACCTCCCCGTATGTATTGTCAGACATTGGTTGTTTTCTGTCCCTTAACTGGTGTGCCTTGGCCCACTCCATACCTCAGGTGCGTTAGAAGTGAGCCGGCACATTGATTCCCTCCGTCCAGGTGTTTGGGCTTTGAAGCTGCCAGGGCAGCCTTGCCCGCGCGCCACTTAAGTATGTGCACGTGTGCCATGATCTGGAAAGAACTGGGAACCAACGACCTTGCTACCCAAACTGTGCGCTTGACTGAGGCATCAGCACCATGCTCGGGCCCCACGCCCATCCTGCTGAATCAGAACCTGCACGTTAACAAGGTCCCCGAGGGATTCATGACGCACCATGTCTGAGGAGCACCCCTGGAGACCACGGTGATGAGAAGTAACCTCGTAGGTGACTTCCCTGAGGATCCCAAGGGCAAAGGGGCTCAAATGAGCAAAGAAAGATCCTGAGCACAGTATCCAAGAAGGGGCTCAGGCTAATTTAATTGAATATTAAAAGCAGGGAGACCTTTGTCTCCCAAGCTGGTAACGCAGGTGGTGCTTGTGAGGGATAAATGCCAGATACCCTGCTACTGTCCGCAGGTGATGGAAACACACACAGGGGAGACGGGACTGTCCTCAGCCCGCTCCTGGGGAGCACAGTGAGGGCAGCTCGGCCTCAGTGCACCCGGCTGAGTCCTCCCCAGGACCTGCCCTGCCCAGGACTTGGGGGAGCTACATTGTAGAGGGAACACAGCTGCCACTTCCTACCACCTCTTGAAAACAGAGCTTTCCTTTCCCCTTCTACTGAATGTTGCAAGAATGACTGTTGAAAACGAAAGGAATTCATGCAAAATTTAAGTGTCTAAAGCAACATTGATTATATGACGTTGAATTCTCCAATTGGTCTGATGCGGTGGATTCTGCAAAAGGGCTGCAGTGTGAGGGTTCACTGAAAGAGGGTAACGGAGGGGGAGGGGGAAAGAGGAAATGGGGTAGGGAGATTCTAGCACAGAGATATCCAAAACTAACTGCCTTTGGGCCCCTCGGGTCCCTGACAACACAGCAGCCTCACAGCAGGCAAGTGTCCTGTCGTTCAGGGCCTGACAGCACACAGGGTTCCTGGAAAGTCAGTACACATCATACCATCTGCCAGTAGAAGTGACTCCAGAGCGTCTTTGGCCAGCTCAGAGGCCCTTCTGTGGGGACTGGGCCAGGGGCTCCTGATGAGCAGCCCAGAGCCCGCATTTTCCTACATTCTCAGGCCCCGGCTCTGCGCTGGGCACAAAGGGTCAGAGTCATGGCGTCCATGGGCTCTGGCCTGGCAGTGCAGTGGGTGCAGGCTCAACCCCTGGCAAGCCCAGGGGACTGCAGTGTCCAGCAGAGCTGCTGAGCTGAGCTGCTGAGGAGACCCCTTGGGAGAGCTCTCTCATTTTCCACCAATGCCAAGGCACAGATGATGTTCACAGCTGTGATGGCACCTCTCAATCCCCTGCACCCCCTCTTTTCTCTGTCCCTCAAAAGCCTGCATAGGAGTGCTGTTTTCATCAGGACACCTATCACTTCATTTCTGAAACCTCTGGGGCTCACTTACTATGTGTCTTGGAACCGTCCTGAGATGCTGGCCCTGTTGGGGAGAACTGAGGCACTGGGGGACTGACTCAGCTTCAATCCCAGGTCTGCCTGCCTCAGATGGGGGTCAGAGAACTGGGCTGGGGCTCAGAATGGGGTGAGCGTCCCCTCGCCACCTCTGACCACCTGTGGGCCTGCCGTTCTCTCTCTCTGTCTCTCATCTGGACTAAAATGACCTCTACAGTTCCCCAGCTTCTACACCTATTGTGTGATGTCCATGTCCTGCAGTCTGTGAACGTGTGACCCTGACCTCAGGAAGGTCATCTTAGCACAGCCGTGGGCTTCTGCATCCAACATATAGGATACTAGCATTGTAACAGATCAGAACATTCTATTTGATGGGACTTCAAACCCACTCCACCCGTGCTGGCATGTGGAGGTTAGCGTAACGTCATTAAGGGTGTCTGGTGGCTTTTTTAAGACAAGATAAACACCATATGTTTATCCCTCCCATCTATCAGTTTCACTTTTAAGAATAAACAGTAACAAGGATGAGGCTCACATAATATTCTAAAGCAGCCGAAGCTCTCCAAGGATTTCTTTTCCAAAGCCTAGAAATAAGGAAGTCAACATCCTCAACCACTAAAAACAAGAAGCACAGATTGGTCAGGTGGTGAAAGGGAGATTTTTTTTAAGATTGAGTAAATAAAAGTTACTGCTGGTAATAAATTGCAGTCGTAATATTTATTTAAACCAGAATGAGGGAATTACCTATAGTTCCGTCTTGAGAGTTTGCATATCCAGAAAATGGGAATGTGAATATGTCAGTGATCCTGAAACCTGCTGATTTCTGGCCAATCCTTATACAAATCACACTAAAAATCCAAATAGAGAGGATCTCTGACATTTCCCACATTTAAATCTCAGATGGTAGCTTCGTAAATGCCACTTGATTGAATGTATGCCAATTAATGGCCCAGAGAGATGAAACAACGTGACCAAACACATATCGAGCTAGTGGCAAAGCTGAAACTGTCATCTGGTTGTGACCACCCCTCCCCGCCCACCCGGGCAGGGCAGGGCACACTTCACGCATGTGACACATCCTCAGATGGTCCCGGGGGTGGCTCTGGTTTGGGACACAGCACAGAGGGCTCCAGAAAGCTGATTCTGCTCTGTCTTCAGCGTTGCCTCTCAGACTGACCTTCAGAGAAGTCACCCTGGTCACTCGGCCCCTCCATGGTGTGGTGTGACATGAATACAAGATGACAGGCCCCCAAAAGGAAAATGCTTCCAGTGGCAAAGGGCAGCCCAGAGGCTGGTTAAGGAGGAGGTTTAAAGCTGGTTCAGCTACTCTAAGGGGAAACCTCATGAAAGACAATTACATACAGGAGGCCATGAGCACCTACAAAAGGAAGCCATGTCACTGCAATCGTCAGCTCTCACTGAGTCAAATCTAAGGTCCAACGCACACGGTCTGATGACGCGAAGCACAGCAGTGCTTCCGAGGTCTGTCTTAGAGGTCTTCAGGGTTTTAGCCTGAGGTGACATTGGGAGCCACTGAGCCATCTCTGCCTTATCTGTCTTATTTTCCCCTAAAATTCTGTGATGGATGCACCACGGCAGTGTAAAAAAAAAAAAATCAGTTTCCCTCTCGTTTGTTTTCTCATTTGGAAAGAAAACAAAATTATCATGAAAATCTCTAACAGTTTACAGTGTATCATAATTTTCAAAGTGCTTACATTCAATTTTCATGGCACCCCTATTCATGCATTCATTCACTTATTCATTCAATATGCATTGAGTGCTGAGTACGAGACTGTTCTAAGTACTAAGGCTACAGCAGTGAACAAGGCAGGGCAAAAACTTCTGTCCCATTTTACAGATGAGATCACTGAGGCTTACAGAAGCTAAGATCTTTGTCCAAAGACATATCCCTAATAAGAGGCAAATCAAAAGCTAACTTTTCTAAAGCCAAGGTCAGTTTTTTCCCCACTACCTCTCACTGTTATATCCTTCTGTTGGTTTATTTATATACACACGTGCTACTGCAGAAAAATAATTTTGTGCTTATGGATTTCGAATTTTAATATCAGTACCAGCCAACGCTTCTGACTTCAAACATGACTGTTCTCACTGAAGATGCAGAAACTCCCCAAGTGACTAAGCCAGGCTTATCCCCCGCCCTGAACTCCCCAGCAGATCCCCTGATGGACGGCTGGCACAGACAGCAGCAGCATAAAGGCTCTCTCTGAGATGAGTCTGCTAAACCTTGAATTATCCTGGGAAGAACCTAAATAACCAGTTTCTCTCGATTACAGTGGTCCCTGTGATTCATCTATGGGTCATTCCAGCTTTACTGTGAGTCACTGTCATCATATAGTCAAAGCCACATCTGGCTGAGAGCAGAACTCGCCATGAAGGGTGCTTCCATATAGAGGGACAGACAAGTAGTATGGGGCATGGGACAACCTCAGGGCTGGCTCCAGATGCTCTGGGAGGTTCTGGAAAGTAAAAAATGTAGGGTAGGAAAGAGGAGAAAGATGATGGTGGAAGCATCCGGATTGAAATTGGAGGATTGAAATCATGCCCTCAGCTCTGTGCATGTCCACTCAGGCTCTGCCACAGGCTGCGCTTACATCAGCTACAGTGTCTCAGGCCCACAAGGTTACCCAGTAACAAAACGGTACCACCTGTCGCTAACACCAATTAACAAGATAAGACAGTTTCAGCTGATCCAATTGAGCCTCTCAAGCTTAGTACACTGGGAGAGGAGGAGGAAACCACACACACACACACACACACACACACACACACACACACACACACACACACACACACACACACACACA